CAATCGGTCTCATGTGGAAGTTTAAGGGCATCCTACCCAGTACCTTATCCTAAAATTCTACCTGACCGTTACTCAGAGTTAGTCAGGGCTCAGCAATATCCTCTATCTACACTACCCAAACTGGTGTCCAACGGACCTCTCTTTTACACGACGTACGTATACTGCTGACATTTCTATCTTTCGACAAAAATTCTTTCCACGTTTGCTGACGATACAGCATAAAATCCAGCCATCGCATGCAGAAACCTTGAAAACCATTTGCGTGCCTCGACGTTTGGACCAAAAAGTGAGAATTAAAATAAGTGCAAAGAAGAGCCAATACTTTAACTTCTCACTCAAAGGTATAACACTACCAATTGTTTACTTTAACAGGATTTCATTCCTCCCTGTCGAACACGTACGTTACTTGGGGCTTCACCAGGACAAACGACATACTTGGAATCCACACACAAGATTACAAACTGATATCACCACTACTCGACAGACGGGCCAAACTTCCATTTAATTACAAAATATTAATATACACCACAGTTGTCAAACCTACTTGGATTTATGGCATCACACTCTGAGGGTCAACCAAGCATTCCAACCCCTAACGGATGCAAAGATTCCAATCAAAAGTCCTAAGAAAAATGGTTAACCCTCCTTATTATGTATCGAACTTCACCCTACACCGAGACCTTAGTTGACAAGAACCCTTTGTTCCAGAAGTAACAAAACCCATAACAAAAATCCATCTATCCTTGGTCCGTCAGTTCAATTTCACTACCAAACCAAATAATCCTCCTCGTCGATTCAGACGACGATGGCCACATGACGCCTTACGTAGTGACGAAAAAATGGAAAAGTGGTCATTATTTATATCTTCTAAAAGAGACTAGGTGATTTCTCCTCACATGTTTTTCATGTCGATTTTATTCTTATAGCGATTTTACCATTGTAATTGTTTTACAGATGTAAAAATCAATACAATGAAAGAAACAAGCAAAAAAGGATTTTTGTTATGTGGATGGTCGAACTTCAACGATTTGAGTATCACATCACAACCGACAAAACCGGCCAGTCGTGCGGGTTACATAGCCAGCGCGCCGCAAAGTGAGAGGAATTCATACTTGATAGGGCCTTCGACACGAACCAAATTTCAATCCGGTTTGATTAGGTTTTAACTCCATTAATACCTTACATTATGATAAAGAAAATACCCTTGAGTAAACCGTAAGCATCGCGTATATTTTCTTACATATACAGGTTGGTTGATGGTTAAATTTCAATATTGGTATGATGTTTTTACTACATAAAACGTATAGAACGTAGTACAGTGCCACCGGAACGACGTTTCTACATGACGCTTTCCTAAGATATTAACAGTTTTGTGATTTTAGGCTAAAAAATTTTTTTTTCGTAAAATCCCAATAACTTTAAAATTATTTAAATGCAAATCTGACTTTCATTTCACAGACTACATTATATTTCCTACAAGACTACAACGTTTTCGTTGAAAAATTCGCCCTTTCTAATACACCGTAGCCGCCCAAAGAATAACAAATGCAAAATCCATTTTTTTAAATATTTAATTGTGTCTAGTGCCATGAGAGGGATAGGGATAAAAGGGGCGGCCACAAGGCCTTCTCCTCCTCGACTTAAGTAGATCTATTGTGCTTCTATGATTTTTGTAACTAACTGCTTGCGGCTTTTTCTCTCCTAGTTGCAAGAACCTGCACCTACAAAGACCTTCACAAAACATAAAATGTGTTCTGCGGTCTCCTCCTCTTCCTGGCAATATCTGCACAGTGTTTCTTTTGTCTGTGCTATCAGGTTTTTAGGTGGCAGTGCCCCGTCAGGAGTCCAACAAAAATCCTGGTTCGGTTGCGGATGGCTCTTCTATGAATCTCTTCGCGTGCCTCATTCCTGTGGTATTGTTCCACCAGGTTCCATTTTCCAGGATCCATTTTAAGATGTATTTGTGGCAAGATGCAAAGCCACAATAGGGTTCCGGGCCTAGAGAGTCCATGGCCAACATATCGATTTTTTTCATTGCCTCTATACCCCGAACGCCCAGGTACAGATCATAGGTGACCTTGTTTTCCGCCAAGACCTCCATGCAATTCCAAACACTCTTTGCCCTAACCTCGCATGAGGCTTGGGCCTTTAGTGCTGCCTCAATGTAAGAGAAGATGGCAACCTTCCGGGAATGTGTTCTTAGTTTTATTATTTACCTGGTGCAGTGTTAAATCGCTATGATTTTTTTATTATTGATTTGGAGTAGTGGCTTTGATTAGCATGCCTAATATGGCACCTGCCTTTATCTACTCCCTCAGTTTCCATTGTTTATTTACGTGTCATTGCAGATGGTTGTTCATATATGAACATGTGAGTTGGGGTTATCTGTGCAAAATAAATATACATTGAGCAAATAGTATTGTTTTGTACAAACCGGACGGACATCAAACTGTACATACACACTGTCAGATTGGGTGCTGAACTGACCTAGCACAATTGAGCCCAACCTCAATGGTAGGTTGTATAAGAACGAGGTGCGACCTCGAACTGCCAACACCCCAAGTGGTTGATTATCCAGGCGTGCCGATAATTTATTGAAGTGTGTCACGGAGCACCCTCGTGACAAGAGGACTGAGCCCAGGATCGGCGGTACTGACAGGCGTGAAGTGGGGAAAAGTGTGAACTGAGAGCTTAGGAGTGTTGCTCTGGCCCTGTTACTGGAAGGAAGAATTTTTAAACTCGAATCGCGTAAGGCGTGTTGCTGCCGTGTTTGAATGTTATTCTTTTATTTTTTCCGCTCTGGAGAGCACTGCCTCAGTAAATATGTTTTCCCCTTTTGGTAAATTAATTTTTTTTTTTAAATCAGTAAATGTAGTAATCTTAGACGTAAAACTGTTCCCCTTTTTCAATCCAGATTGGATACCCCTTTGTTTATTTCCCCTGAGTTTTGTTGAAATTACTCAATGATTGTTTAAATAATTTCTTTTAAAATAAACACCTTTTAATATCTATGACTAATTTGTGTATCCCCGGTCTTCCCCTCAAAAAAACCCCTGTATTTCCACAATAAAAGGATAGGCAATTAATGTGATCAAACTGGGTTGTTACGAGTGTTAGACTTAGATATTAGAACATGCGTATATATGAGGTTATCTAAATCCAAAATAAACTCCTTTCGAAAGTTAAGCATTATGGTCTGCTCGAAGCTTTAAACATTTCAAATTCAGGGTTAGGAAACGCGAAACGTAATTTAACATCGACTTTCTTGCGGCAGGGGTATTAAAATATTTAAAGCTTTTGAATTTGATATTCTTACTTTTAGAAAAAACTGTTAATATTTTGATAAGATAAAACTCACTCAGTGATGAATCCTTCATTTTAAATTCCTGCAACAAACAACCATATATTAATAACTTAAAGGGAAAAGGTTCTAGGAATACAATACAGTTACAGTCAGCCAACAACAGAATCTTATAATAATAAAGTATTCCAGTAACAAAGTAAATAATTAAGCATTGTTTCGTTAGTCGCTCATGGAAACGAAGAGAAGTTGTAAATTTCTTTCAGTATAAATCTGAAACATGAGAGGTGGGAAAATCTAGACATTGTTTGAACATGGCCTCGCCCCTGGGAGGTAAACCGCGCCGTTTAACTTTCGTGTTTCAACCCTTAACAGTTACCCTCTGTGAAGGAAACCCATCTAATTATGTTCCTCCATATAATAATATATGTACAAAGCGATAGGCATGCTGCTGAAAACAGTTTCGTCCTGGTATAAATTTTGATACTGTTGCGATAGGTGGAACAATTATGTTTAAATTTATTTTATCTGTAAAATATAAATACACATTGCAGAAATAGGATAGTTATATATAAATCTGACATATTTGTCAAACCAGGAGGCAGTGGGGAGAGAAACCAGCCAGTGTTAGAACTCACTTTTGTTTAGTAGCGAGGGTTAAGATAGGAGTCACGAGGCCATTATCATTTTAAACGGCGTGGGGGATTATAAGGATGGGACGTAGAGGAAAGAGGCTAGTGGGTTAGACTGGAGGGATAGTTTTGGGTGGAAATATAGAAATCAGACCCTACACGAATGGAATTGTAAGATTTTTATAGATTATTTGATTCGTGACGTAGAAGAGAGCATTAAGGATACGGCGGAGAAATTTGGATTGAAAGTTTTGAATTCATTGGATGTTGGAAGATTTGGCCGAATCTACAATATTTGGTCCCTTTTAAAGAATAAGAGGTACATAACCCACACATAAAATCTCCCATTTGGATTTTGGTTTTTAACTGGATTTTGTAAATAAATATTTGCATAGTCAACCTCTTCTTTGTTGGTTTTTCTGTAAAGCTTCTTTCAAACTATTTCATTTAATTAAGGTTTTTAGTTGAGATAAAAAAAGTCAGTGTCACGAGCGGGATTACACGACAATTGAAAAATGGCAAAAAATGAGGGAAAATTCTTAAGGTGGGGTTGAGATGGGATGTTAAGTGTCCAAGTGGATCGAAATCACGATAGATAAAGTGGTAGAGCATCGGCGAATCTAGCCGAAGATCGTGGGTTCGAACCCCACTCGTGACACTGATTTTTTTATCTCAACAAAAAACCTTAATTAATTGAAATATATTAATTGGTCAAGCGGGCGACTAAACCTAGTGGACTTCTTTCTAAAGTAAAAACGATAAAACCATCATCCCTCTAAGATGTGGCATGCCTTCCTGAGTACCCTCTATCCAGTACGATGGTAGTGATGAAAGTCGTTCAGGGAATGTTAAGCACCCTGGCCACAGACGCTTGATTTCTCCATCTTCTAGCAGAATCTGTATCAATTAAAACCATCACTCAAACAAATTTGAAACTTATAAACGGTAGAACTTAAAAAAATCAAGCCACCGCAATGTTAGAAAGAAGTCCACTAGTTTTAGTGGTCCGCTTGACCAATTAATATGTTTCAATTAATTAAGGTTTTTAATTGAGATAAAAAAGTCAGTGTCACGAATGGGGTTCGAACCCACGATCTTCGGCTAGAAACACCGCTGCTCTACCAATTGAGCTATCGTGACCTCGATCCACTAGGACACTCTTCCCATCTCAATCCCACCTTTAATACGTATATGCTCTGAGGTGCAAAAAAAGTGACTTTTTTAAAGTAAATACTATTGCTACTATATACTATGTATTAGTATATACTATGCTAGCGTTTACTTTAAAAAAGACACTTTTTTTGCACCTCAGAGCATATACGTATTAAATGTTTCACATTTATTCAGTATTTGATAACCTGAGGTATAAAGAAAAGACTCCCATTTTATGATAGCCAGTAAGGAGATCAAAACATTCAAATGCTTGCAGTTTAGAACAAAATAAGCGTTAAAGACCAGAAAAAAAGGAAAACGCGGCGATGACCTCAGCTGTTTGTCGGCCATAAACCTCCCACATATAAACAAATTGAAAATCAATACTTGTTGAAATATGTTTCAAACAGTACTAAAACAGGCGGGTTTGGAATATAAGAGAGGTCAAACGTTCGGACGAATGTATGGAGACCGACTGACAATGCGGCAATTAAAATAACAACTCTATCATTAGTATTCGTAAATTCCGCAGTGTATTGGTGGCTTTTTAAAAATATCTGTTCCGCTCCATAAACAAAATTATACTAAGCGGGCTTATTTACATACTACTACTAATTAAGTATTTTGTAATTTCTTCGCACCCCGCCTGCGAGGACAGACAGACCAAAATGATCGGAAACGGCCAAATTAAAAATAAAACTGATGCTTTGTCGTGCTTACCGTTTGAAGGGTTGAGGGTTCAAAGTTGAATAACCTTGAGTCGAATAAGGAAGCCCATTAGGAGGTCCATGGGGGTCGGCCGTATCGCCGTGCAAAGAATGGGCCAGTGATATTTCCCTGACAGGATGTGAAACGAGTCAGACGGACCCCTCTTGCTTCTTCACTACCTCAGATTACACTTTTAAAGGGTTTGCGATAGAAATAAATCTACCGAAAATCCATGACGAGAGTGAAAAAAAACATGTTAAAGGAGTATTACTATGACGAATGATCAACAACAATTATTTTCAGGTATTATCCGACCCACCGTGACAAAGGTTTTCTAAGTAAATAAATTTCCTCCCCTTCTTCAAAATCCTATTCTTATTGAAGTTTATATTAATATAAAAATAAAGAAATGTCGCTCTTCATGAAAGGAAAGACTACCGTTAAAGATTAATATAAGGGTCGGTGGCCGCAACGGTTTAGACGTTGACACGGCACTCATTACTGTAAGGTAAAGTCCCGGGTTCGAATCCAGCGGCCCTGCATTCGAAACCGGGCCAAAAGCCAGGAACACACTCACCCGTGGCTACGCATGCGACGCTACCCGATGCTACCTNAACCATTAAAATTAATTTTTTTAAATAAAAACTAATTAATTTTTAATCACAGTTAATTTAGTTTATATTAAAATAAGTATGTTGTAATTAATATAACGACAATAATACATGTAGTTTGAATAAAAATATGAGTGCCCGGTTCTTTTGTCTTCGACTGTACTCGATGCGACCCGACGAAAATCTGGACAGTGGGGATCGCAGAGCGTCGGGTAGGGACGTAGGGTAGCGTGGCATAGCACCGGGTAGATGTGCACGGGGGTAATGCAACCTTATGGAAAATCGGAGTTTGCATTTGCGTCGGGTACCATCGTGTAGCGTCGCATGGCGTAGCATCGGGTAAGTGTGTTCCTGACTTTACCCTTTTTTTTTTTTCAAAAACATCGGCACCCTGAGGGTTTATATGACCTTCGCTGTTGCGGACCCTCAAAGAAAATTTAATAGGAAATATTCGGTTTTAAGTGAAGACAGAATTAAATAAAAGTATGGGGTACGAGTCAACCCAGGCATTTAACCCCTTGGGTTTTGGACGCCCACCTCGCATAATATAAGTAAAAGTAATTCCATGCCAACAAATCAAGTTCTCTCAGACTTTCAAATAATTATAAAATGATAAATAAACAATAAATAAGCTGATGTTATTCGCATTCGTAAACAAGTAAAAAAAAACATGGTTTTACCAAATTAATTATTCCATTAATTAACCCTCTGTAGTGAATTAAAAAAGGATACATGCGCGTATATTCATTATAATTATTCATCGTGTAAATGGTAATGCCTGCACAATAGGGTTGTGACATAATGACGAAAAGCTCGTGCATATGTCCCCTCGTCCCCTATATACTCCAGTATGGATTACCACTAACAAAAAAAAAGTATTCATTTTCTTTTGTCATTCTTTATCCAGACGTAACTCTTCAGAACAAGAAAAAATACAGTTTCTTTAAATTGTAAATTTTGTGTTTTAATTTCTTTTTTATAAAACAACAAGCTTTTGTCTCTCCTATATTAAGTACTGACAAAGTAATAAGTCTAACTAGAAGAAATCCAATGATTTACTGAACGTAAAGTCACCCACTGCTGGGTCTCAGTATAGGTACATGTGGCCAGAAAAGGGACTGTGGTATAGTTGATAGGTGCTGAGCCCTTCTGCGGCATAGGGATTCACACTTGCAATGATTACCTTAGACAAAAGAACAAATTAAAATGAGGAAAAATGAAAATCACTCATTGGACATAAACAATCAACTTTCCATGAAATTTTGGAATGAAAGAAATAACAGAACCCATCCAAGAAAGCGGGAAAAACTTCGATTCCTAACAGAATTCTTAAAAGGACACTGCAAACTGAAGGGGGAACCCAACACATCAAAACATCTACTAAAAAGCTGGTGCCACATTTGCCTGCAAGAGGAAGCGTTTTTGGACGACAACGCAATCGTAGAAGTAATTCAACCAATGAAACCGAGCCTATTGATCGAATTTCTTGATGAACTTCCCGACGTTGTATAAGTCAATTATCAGGGTGTCCAAGATAATGCGGCCACCCCATTTTTTTCCTTTGCGGTTCTAGGTAGGAAAAAAGTATGAATTGAAACTCCCCTTCATTTTTCAAGTAGTTTGTTCATGTAAGGTGTGCTACTGGAGGTAAAGTCACCCTCTGCTGGGTCTCAGTTCATGTAGAAGTAGTGGGCAAAAAAGGAGCTGTCGAACTGCAGATAGGTCCAGAGCCCTTCTGTGGAGCCTATTAATCAAATTTCTTGATGAACTCAACGACGTGTTGCAAGTACAAAACGGAGGATTCAATAGTTCTGAAAGGGAGCAGAATATCGCACTCCCAACAGTATATCTCACGGTAGATATATGTCATAGTTTTGAGGATGGCAGAGAGACACATCTCTTAGAGTTGATCATTCTTCATGTTAGTCTTTTCATCCCAATCCGTCAAACAAAATCCAGATGTTAGCATTTCAAAACAACTTTTTTTAACCCCTTAAAATCCACAAAACAATGTATTTCAGCCGAAACCAGACACCGCTCCAAAGCTCTTCTACTTTGTAAAAATGTAACAACGATCTAGTACACGTCTACATTTTTGCAACCAACAAGTGGATCATTCAAAATCCAACTTCCAAGTGACTAACTAAACTCTAAACTACAACCGACTCGTGACCAACTGACCAGTGTCAATTCAAGCCCATTCCACTATTTAACTTCTGACCGACTATTTATTTTGGTAGCACTGACCTTTTGCAAACCTCCCCTGAGAATTCGACGTGGGACTTTTTCCCCGCGGTAGAACCCTCAGCCTTCTACATTTTGCATTTGCTGAGCTTTTCTACGAACCGGATATTCGAGCGTACAACGAAGACACAAAATTCGATTTTTAGATATCGTCATTCTAATTGTACAGCACATTTAATAGTAATCTTTATACAATCAGTTATTAATTGATTACAAAACTTATTGGCTATAAAAAATAGTCTTCTCTAGACAAGTAAATACGAATAGATAAACATGAAGTCCACCAACATACATAAATGTTTATATACTAAATATATGGAAGCAGAAAATCGATTAATGTAGTTTAGGCGTCTCTAACCACCCTGGTATCACTCTTTTGGCTGGCAAACTATTATTTTTCCACCTACATTCGCGCTTTTAACAGCGCGCAATAGAATATACATGATTTTGTGAAATCAAACTGTTTACACTTAAATTGAAAAAATCATTTTCATAAACATTGTATTTACTGAGCTGGGGGATTGGTCCAATGAATAGTACGGTATTGAAGCTATGCCAAGCTTTCCTGTTTTATTTAACTTCCCAGGTCTCTATAACCGATAATAAAAAAATATATAATTTTTGGTTAATCAATTGTGGTAAGTGAAAATTAACAATTAAATCCATCATACTTAGAGGTCTGATTGACCAAATTACTTTTTTAAATTTAATTAATCTTCTAATGTAAGGTTTTGGTTGATACGAAAAAGCTAGTGTCACGAGCGGGATTCGAACCCACGACCTTCGGCTCCAAACCACCCTTTCTCGGCATACTACGCGGCCAAGCAACAAAGGGAGCAGTGGGATTCTGGCCCGAAGTCCTACCCTAATTTTTTACCATTGCGTTATTTAATTTTCCTTTTTTTCACATACAGTACAAATTATTTATAAGACCGGTTATAACGAACTAAATCTCCGGTCCCATGAAATGTCAAAAGGAAAAAACATAGGGAACCGTTTACAACGAACTTCCGGTTATAGCGGAGAGCACACAATGTTCACTATTCTAGGAAAGATTCTTCCCTTTTTTCAACTCTAAATGTCTTTAAAAAACTCTAAACAAAAGCTAAATAAATAAAAATAGCGAAGAGAAAGTGATCGGTTTCTTCCACGAGCACGTAAAAAAACCACGCTTTTTGCCCAAAAATCGCGAATAATTCGAAAACGGTTGAGAAATCGGGCAAAGTGGAAGGTGACCAATTGAAAACTTATTAAAATTTCCTATCGACTGGTAAAGGACGTCGCTCCAGGACGATTTCCTAGCTCCACAACTCAATTTGAAGTTTTCGTACAAAGTGCAAAAACTGGCACGTTTCAGAATTTTTGAATTTACTGATAAATGACTGAAGCTAGGAAACAAACATTTAAAAAAGCAATTTTTTGGTG